ACTTTGCTTCTTAGACACTCCTTAAAAACTACGACTTTGGCCTAGATTTTGGTTACCTTATGCAATATCTCCTTATGTGGCTCAACACCATATTTTGTTTTATAATGCTTCTATGAAGCAACATGAGACACTTTAGTATGCTAAAGGTGCTACATAAGTTTTCATAGTCCCTGTTGCAGCAGTTAGCAAACTTCAGTCACGACCCTTTTCTGAAGCCAAAATGACTCAAGCACTAGTCCTCACTAATGCAAAGAGCATTGCTCCATAAGACACTCAGCAGAAATGCACCCCTTTAGACAGCCATCATCCTCCCCTTTCTAGCATCTTACCTTCTTCTATGTAGTTATCTTTCATTCGTGCTCAATTCCCAGAGGGAGTACTAAAGGCCAACTATCCTTGGAAGTAACTTGTTTCAGCACAATCTTCTAAATTAACTAAAAGGTATTTCAGCACCAGTCTGACCACTGTGTGTAGAAGATTATTTAAATTTAAGACGAGTATAGTAAATCTCCAAAAACCACAAACAATTACACCAACTGTCAAAAGAAATAACAACTAATCTACAAAGCAGTTCCTGATTCCTTCAATTAGTGCTGGTGTGTTTGCTCTTCACACAGAGTAATTCTGGAGTCTGAAGTTGGAAAATGGCAATGGTGGCATCAAATGATCATTGCACACTGACTGACGTTTATTAACTGATTATTAACTGCCTGCTCTCCATGCTGATGGCACCTATTGGATGCATTAGCACAAATTTCTTACCACAGTAACAGCAGGTGCACTTTCCTCAAAATGTGCGCATGTACCAAAGAGTCCATTTTCAAATATTGGGAGACCATCTAGTACCTACAAGTATCTATATTACTGGCCTGGACAGGGAATTTGTAATTATGGCTCTTGTTGATTTCCCTATATTTTCTTTTGAAGAGTCCACATAAGCCAAGCTCCTTAATCACAACAAGAATTTATGATAAGAGATAACAAGGTGTAGAGCTGGATGAACACAGCAGGCCAAGCAGCATCAGAGGAGCAGGACATTTCGGGCCTAGACCCTTCTTCAGAAAATTTATGATGATGGGGGAAATCTTCTTCAGTGACACTGAATTCGAAAGTTAACACCTAATCAACAAACTAACCAAGCACCTTCTGCCTTTGGAGAGACACATTAGCTGTCATTATCAGAGTTTTCGCCAAACAACAATACCTTTTAACTTTGGACTCCCAATTCCTACTTTTTGGAAATTATCATTTAGGCTCTGGTTTGTCAGGATAAAATCAGCTCTCCCCTGCTATCACCAGCAAACGAAACTCAAGAAGAGCTTGGCTCAAAGTTAGGCCTATAAGATGGTATCAGCAAATTTGTAAATCATACTCCTTCCAATGTGATTCCCTGGAGTTACATAGAACTGATGATTTTCCAAATCATCTCTGCCACAACTAAACATTACCTCATTATGAAACATGAGAAGTGAGAACTTAAATCAAGTATACAACTAACCCACTGGAGAAATGTCACCGAAAACACAATTAGTTGCAGGTAACCAAAATGATCTTTTCGTACCTCAGTGGCAATGACCCTCTGTCCAATTACAGAATATTTGCTGTTTGATAACAAAGCTATTGACAAACTAGCTGGACTATTTGACTAATAATAAAAAAATGGCAAAGTGCATAGTAATGTAAATTACAGAACAATCCTTGGCAGAGATTTAAAGAGGGCAGGGCACAAGTATTTCAGAGCACTACGGCATTTAATACAGTGGTGAAATGCATTTTGTGGCCTTATTTTTGATGAGGTCAGTGTCAAGTTCAACTGCACAGGTGCAGATATTGATAAGTAAACCAGAAATTATATGCATCTGCAGAAGCAAACCTGAAGGCAGAAAGTAAGCAGCACTTACTGTTGAACATACACTAGTGGTCAGTTTGGGAAGTAAATCAGCAGAGTTTGACAGTTAGGTTGCCACCCATCCTTCAAGCTAAGGCTCTTATGTAGCAAAGGGGAACCAACTGCAAAAGAACTTACAGTTCCCTGGCCCCCAGCACTTCATCTTTACTGTGGACATTCAATCCCTATATACATCCATACCCAACAAGGACGGCCTACAGGCCTTCAGTATTTTCCTCTCCAACAGACCCATCCAGTCACCCCCACCAATACCCTCCTCCACCTCTCTGAACTAGTCCTCACCCTCAATAATCTTTCTTTCAATTCTTCCCACTTTCTCCAAATCCAGGGGTTTGTCTTGGGCACTCTCATGGGCCCCAGCTATGCCTACCTGTTTGTCAGTTATGTTGGAACAGTCCCTCTTCAGCACGTACACCGGTACTGTTCCTCAACTCTTCCACCATTTTCGATGACAGCATTGGTGTTGCATCCTGCACCCAGGCTGAACTGGAGCAGTTCATCAACTTTGCTAACAACTTACACCCCGCCCTCAAATTCACTTGGTCTATCTCAGACATCTCCCTCCCCTTTCTTGACCTCTCTGTAGCTACCTAGACTGTACCTCTTCCCACCCTGTATCCTGCAAAATCTCCATCCCTTCTTCCCAATTCCTCCATCTCATCTGCTCTAACGAGGAGATGTTCCACTCCCAAGAATCCTGGATATCCGCCTTTTTCAAATAATGCTGTTTCTCCCCCTATGTCATCCAAACAGCCCTCCACCACGCCTCCTCCATTCCCCACTCCACAGCTTTAAACAACCCCTCCCTCCAAATATAATAAAGATAGGGTCCCCATTGTCCTTACTTTCCAACTCACCAGCCTCCACATTCAACGTATCATCCTCAAACACTTCTGCCAACTCCAATCAGACCCCACCACCCAGAACATCTTCCACTCCCCACTCCTCTCTGCCTTCCACAAGGACAATTGCCTTCACGCCCCACTCCCCACCAACCACTCCAACCCACCTGGTACCTTCCCCTGTAACTGTAAAAGATGCAACATCTGCCCACACAAGACCTCCCTCACCTCCACCTAGGACCCAAATAGTCCTTCCAAGTGAGACAGAGCTTCACCTGCATCTCTTCCGACCTAGTCTATTGCATCTACTGCTCCCAATGTGACCTTTTTTATGTTGGTGAGACCAAACGTAGACTAGGTGACCGTTTCGCCGAGCATCTTCGCCTGGACCGGAACAGCCAACCTAACCTCCCAGTCACCACCCATTTCAATTCCCCATCCCACTACTCTCCAACATGTCCGTCCTCGGCCTCCTCCAGTGTCGCAGCAATTCGGAACGTAAATTTGAGGAACAACACCTTATCTTCCGTGTGGGCACACTACAGCCCAGAAGACGAAACATTGAGTTCTCAAATTTCAAATAATCTTCCCACCATCCCCTGGTTCCCTTTCCAGCCCCACCTCCTCCTTTCCATTCAACCTTCTGACCGGCCCTTCTAGCCACCAACCAGATTCATTCCTCCCATCGACCAACCAGGTCGTACCTACTACCAATGGCCACCTATCGCTACCATTCTGCCTCTACCCTTCAACCCCTCTCTTTTTCTGCAGCTCCCCCTACCCCCATGTCCTGTCCTGAAGAAGGATAATACCCAAAATGTTGACAGCTCCTTTCCTGCAGATGCTGCCTGTCCTGCTGTGTTCTTCCAGCTTAGGAGTAAAAATGTGATAAAGCAATCATCTCCACAACGCATTGCTCATCCATAAGTGTCCTGAGGACAGTTAAGAGTCAACCACATGAGAAGGGAAGAGGTGGGTAGGGGAGGGATGGATTGGTGGGGATAGGGGAGGGATGGAGTGGTGGGAGGGGAGGGATGGGTGAGGAGAGGGGTGAAGCGGTGGGGGGAGGGGAGAGATGGGTGGGGGGGAGGGGTGAAGCGGTGGGGGGAGGAGTGAAGTGGGAGGTAGGTGGGTGGGGAAAGGCGCGGAGATGAGCCAGGAGGTGGGACGGTGGGGAGAGCGGGGCCGTGTGGCGTGCGCATGTCTGGATTCTAGTGGGCCGCGTGTGGGCCGTTGGTGATCGCCGCGAGACGGGCGCGCGCCTGACTGCGGGGAGCGAGCAAGTGTGTGTGTGTGCGCGCGCGCGAGGGAGAGGATGAATAATAAGGGTGGGTGGTGGTCGCGGTGGGGGTTTATCGGGAGTGAGTGTGGGGGATGGTGTAGGGTAGTATCGGGGTCTGGGCGACAAAAAACGGAGTATGGGTTGGTCAATGAAGGGGGTGGGACAGAGGGTAAGCCTTTGTGTAAAAGAAGAACAAAGAATGGGGGACGAGGACGGGGGGGGATAGGACATGAGACAGGCAGAGGGGAGTGAGCGGGAAGTGAGGGGAGCAACTTAGAACCCAGCAAAGGATGACCAAGAAACTGATTTTTAAAACAAAATACGAACACAGGCTGCCAAAAAAAAAACAGAAGGGTGCGTTTTTAAAGCTCCTTTAGGAATATGAAAAGGAAGACATTAATGTGAACAAATGTGGGCCCATTACGAATGAGAAGAATTTAACACGGAGAACAGGAAAATGGCAGAGAAGCTTAATAACCACTTGTGCCTGTCTTCATGGAAAAAGGACATAGAAAATCTCCCAGAAATGCCAGGCAACCAGATTTGCAGCTTGGGCAGACATGGATTTATAAAGGGGACGTTATATTTAACAAACATGTTGCAGATTTTTGAAGACTTTACTTGTAGCACAGATAAATAATTAGAATTACCTTTATTGTCACGTGTACTCAAAGGAGTAATGTGTATAAGTCACCATATACAGTGGTACGGCTTCTTCAGTTACAGTTTTTAGAACAACAGAGAAGTAAAAAGTTCAGTATAACGTCTTCCAACCCAATCCATGCTGGCACCTAGCTCCTTCACCCTTCACACCCCACCCCCCAATCTGCACTGCGTCCTGACTCAAGACTGCGCTGGGCTTCACCTCAGGGTTCACGAGGCTGGGATATCACTCCGGAATCACCTTGAGACCAGAAAGCCACGCCACTCGGGCAGGCTGAGGTGAGACCTGGTCGAGTCTGCGCAGGGGTCAGGAGTTCAGAGGCAGGGAGTTCCATGTTCGAAGGCCTTGGAAGTGTACATGTGTTTCAGAAGGTTTTTGATAGGGTCCCCTGCAGGAAGCTAGTAAACAAAATTAGAGATTCAGGGTATACACTAGCATCAACTGAGAATTGGTTAGAACTTGTAATATTTCCATATTTGCTGAAGACACAAAACAATGTGAGAACTTAAACTGTGAGAAAGTTAAAAGGAGGCTTGGTGGACTTGGACAGGTTAAGTGAATGGACAAGAATGTTGCAGATGGAATATGTGAATAAGTATTGTTATCCATTTCGGTAGGGGGAAAAAAAACAGAAAAACAAAGTATTTGTCAATGGTGAGAGATTGGGAATTGTTGATGTCCCAAAAGAACCTAGGCTTCCTTTCTGATGAGTCACTAACAAGTAGCATGTAGGTGCAACAATCAATGAGGAAGGCAAATGGTGTGCTGTTCTTAATCACGAGGTGATTTGAATAAAGAAGTTTTGCGGTAATTGTTTAAAGCCTTAGACTGCTGCTGGATTATTGCATACAGTTTTGGTATCCTGATCTAAGAGAGGATATTCTAGTGTACAGGGAGTGCAACGGAGTTTCCCTAGTTTAATCCCTGTTATGGTGAGGTTCTTTTACGTGTAGAGATTGAGGAAACTGGGCTTGTATTCTGGACTTTTGAAGAATGAGAGTTTAGTCATTGAAGCTTACAAATTCTTTCAAGGTAGGTGACAAGATAGGTGAGACTTTTCTTCTGGCTGGTGGGTGGGGATAGAACCAGGGGACATCATCTCAGAATAAGGGGTAGGTCATTTAAGACTGGCATTTCATAACTCGGGGCAGTAAATCTTTTTATTTCTGTACCCCAAGTGCTGAGGACACTCAGTCTTTGAAAATTTCTGGAAACTAATCAAGATATATAGAGAGTGCGCAGGAAAATGACATTGAGGTAGATCGTAGATCATAGAATCCCTACAATGTGGAAACAGACCATTCGGCCCAACAAGCCCACGCCATCCCTCCAAATATTCTACTGTCTCTCCTGATCCTCGGGAGGAATAGAAGAATGTCACCAAACTAGTAATCCAGATCAGCAGGATAATACCCTGGGGATCTTACATTCAAATCTTGATCAACCATGATCTAATTGAATGGTGGAACAGGTTCAAGGCTGAATGGCCTTTTCCTCTTCATTTGGACGGAGAGTATGAGGCATGTGCAGGGGACAGGAAGGGATCGTAAGTGAATGGGTAAGGTTAGAAATGGGCATTAGTAAAGGGGAATAGTTTGTGGAAGTAGATGGGGGTAGAGGCAGCACTTGATCTGGGAATTGAAGTGGGCCACATTGAGGAGAGAAGATAACTAGAAGATAGCTGGATCTGATGAGGTGAGAAACAGATGCACGTTACTAATTAATAGCAACAGATTGACCCTTGTGCTGCTTAGTGTCCTAATATTGAGAAAAGAAAAAGGAAAAATGTTCAAATATCTGAATATTTAATTTAAAAACATTAAAGTAAGGGGAAATGTTGGCCCTTTTCATGTAGTTTCCACTTTTTCTTTTAGGAATTATGGCAACCAAGTGGACTGCAGGGGATTTATCTCCAGTGCTGTGCCTGGACGTTAACAGTGAAGGCCTTGTGGCATCAGGGGCAGAGAAAGGAGCCCTTACAATCTGGAACAGCCAAGGTGCTGTAATCAGCCACTTGAACCTAGGAGATGGTGACGATGTCACGTGTGTGTCATTCTCTCACAATCGTTCTAACATTCTGTACGCATCTCACAGTAAAACAGTCAGTGTATTAGACATTCGGGCTTTTGAGGAACCCGCTGATTGCTTCCATGTGAACGAGGATGAGATAAACTGCTTGTCTGTTAATGAAACAGGCAGCCATCTTGCAGCTGCAGATGATTCTGGATCAATAAAAGTCATAGAGTTGACAAGCAAGAAGGTCAGCCGCTCTTTACGGAGACATTCAAATATTTGTTCCTGTGTGACCTTCCGACCTCAAAGGCCACAGAGTTTACTCTCCTGTGGATTAGATATGCAGGTATATATAGTATCTTAAACTTTTTGCTTGTGTGGTCACATAACTGGAGTTTGAAAGGGAACTGGCTGGACATTTAGCATGTCATTTTCAAGCGTGTTCTCATAAAACAGGATCAGAAATTATTTCCCCAGTTGGTTTAAGCAATTTTCTTTGGCATGGCAGAGGTTGAAAATAGTGGATTCTGTGTCCAGGAGGATAACTCTGTGATTCTAGCTGGTAAGGTCTGAAATCACACGACATCAGGTTATAGTCTGACAGGTTTATTTGAAATCACAAGCTTTCTGAGCGTAGCCCCCCTTGTCAGATGAAGTGAGAAAGAAGCACACAGAATTTATAAGTAAAAGGTCAAAGGGTCACACAACTGATGAGGATGTATTAAACAAACCTAAAATGCTGTTAAATCTTTAATCAGTTAGAAGGTTTTAATTGATTGATTTAATTGATACACAATGTTTTGTGTATGTAAATCCCCAAATTTCTTTCAAGTCACTGCCCTGAGAGAACTAAAGGTTTTACCAATGTAACATTTTAGCTCAGAGGCTGATAGCCAAGCTCAGCACTCATGAGGACAGCCTGAACCGGGAACTTGGGCTCATGTTGCACTGCAGGTGACCCCACGACACTATACACGCTCTGTCTCACTCACAAACACACACCACACACAAACATACACACAGACACAGATGCTCTCTAATATACACACAGTCTCTCAAGCATACTCACACACACACTCTCTGTCTGCCGCCCTTCTCACATACGCACGCACACCCCCCCCCACACACTTTCTCTCTCTGCTCCCCACACATACATTTGCACGCATGCATTCTCTCTCTCTCTCACATACACACATCCACTGACACACTCCCGCTCGCTTTCTCCTCCGCACTCTTCCACGGCGCCCACACGCTGTCCCCCGCACCCTCTCACCCCCATCCCAATGAGCCCTCCCGCACTGTCTCACCTCCACAAGCACCCTCCTGCGCTCTCTCAATCCCCCCCAGACACACACACGTGCGGTCTCTGAACCCCCCTCTCTCTCACATGCGTGCTCTTGACTCACTGCCCCCAAACACACACTCTCCCACACCCCTCCCACACATACATGCCCTCTCACACTTCCCCCCCAACACATACATGCCCTCTCACCCCTCCCCCTCG